GTGGTTGGCCAGAGATTGGAGGAGGAGAAGCTTGCAGCGGAGAGGAAGAAAAAAGAAAGAAAACACAGAGGAAAATTGTGGAGAAATCGCAGAATGGGGGGGGGGACGGGTGACACGCGAGGAAGAAGGCTGCATTCAGCCTTATTCAGACCGATCCTGGTTCGAAAAAAACTGTGGGTGGGCCCCAGCATCCAATCAATTCAAAGATTCCATGACGCAACTTTTTAGATCGTGATCAGTCCGGATATATATATACGGACCGATATTGGTCCGTATAATAAATTAATATATACGGTTTTCAACATAATATATACGACCGATTTCGATCTGTATATTTTCATTAAAAATAATAACTCATTCCTAATTTTTTTTATTTAATATTTATTTTTTCTGAAAAATAATCAATATATGGACTGAACTCGGTCCGAATAGAAAAATGGAATTTTGTATTTTCTGATGGATATAAACAGACCAAATTTGGTCCGTATATATTTATTTAAATAATATTTATTCATATTTTTTGTTATTTAATATTTATTTTTTTCAGAAATAATATTCAGATCATGTTCAATCTGAATATTATTGGCGCTTTTATACTGTGGTTTCGCGCCAGTAATATACGGACCGATACCGGTCCAAATATGTTGATTAGTATATTTTGTGCCACCTGAATATATTCGGACCGATATTGGTCCGTATATTTATTTTTTCGGATCAATACTATTTGATATGTATATATTCAGTCTGTATACGTCATTTTTCTACTAGTGATAGATAGTAAATTAGCTTAATTTTGAGTCTAATGTATTTGTAGGTCCCATTCACAAGTGTATTACGTCTATTTTTCCCTTGGGTTTGGGGTGTGACAAATTACCTCCCCCCACTTGAGCTGAACCCACCAATCCATCGTCAAAGCTCTTCATCTCGTTAACCCCATTAACTTTTCAGCATTACCTTCAAATTTTCCGATCCTGTTTTCCATACCACTTCCTTCGATACTCTTCTATATCATCTCTCATTATTCTGTTTGAATGCTTCATGGGTTTTTCTGAAAAAAAAAAAAAAAAATCTTTGTGAGTTTTGATTTTTCGTGGTTTTTTTATTTGAAATGTTATTATTAGTTTTCTTATTTACTTTTTCAACTTTTTTGACGTTGATTTTGCAGAAAAAGTTGTACGTTACTCCCATTTATTCAAAGATTATTGCGTGTGGTTTTATTTAATGAGTTTCTTTTAATTTGGACCTTTTTTTTCTTAGGTTAGGTATTGAATAAAGTCTTTTTTATATATTTTTACAAGAATATGAATAATAATTGACATATTTTTCGATTTAATACATTTAACAACATTTATCGATTTAATTATTAAAAAACTAATATTTTTAAATTTAAATTCAAGATGAAAAAATTTTCAGAGACAAATTTTAATACTAAACTGATAAGCATTGTTAAATATATTGAATCAAAAAATATACCAATTATTTTTCCAAACATGACCTTTCATTTTCCACGAGATGAGGATGAAGGGTATTTTTTGTCTTTCATCAGAACTCCTTGCAAAGATTGGCAAAAACCTATTTTTGGTCCATTACCTTGTTAGGTTTATAGGTTTTAGCCCTTCACTTGACACTTTTAACCCCTCATATATTAAAATTGAAGAAAATAACTCTCACTTTATAATATTTTGTTAACTGATAGTTAACTTTGTTAACTGATAGTTAACTATGTTATCTAAAAGTAAGTCTTTGCTAACTAACAATCAGTTAATAGATTTAACAGTCAACGAACAGAATAATTCTGTTAATTGACTATTAACT